TAGTATCCAATAATCATCGAGAAGCCTCTTGTTTTCTATCGGTATGCCATCGACTTAATTCTTAGAATTTACTTGGATATGGATTTGCATACACTATATCTAGATAATAAGATCTTATCATCTTTATTATGATAGTTAAAGACTTACTAAAAAAAAAAAATTTGATATAAAATCTAACTTAGAATAAGCTCTGAATCACCGAATTATTCATTGTATTTGCACCAGGTATTATAAGGATACTAAGGAGGTATTTGAGAGAAGTATCAATTGGAGTTTTAAAAATTTTAAAAATATTTTTTTCTTTAATTTATTTTTTGTTGTTGTTTTTGTATCGTTTTAATGTGTTGATATTAAAATTAAATTTTAAAAATTAAAAAAATATATATTATTTTGATGCATTTCCAAGCAAAAAACACTTTAAAATTAATCATTATCACTGTCTTAAACACCCACGAAGATTAATTATTAGTTCATTGATGTAAACTAGCATGAAAAAAAAAGTCATCCATTACCTTAAATTAAGGTTGTCAAAAATACTTTTTTGACACGACATGAAAAATACAATATAAACTTCGATCGTAAAATTGTAAATAAACTTTTTTAATTAATTATATATTGACAATTTCAACTAAGAAATTAAATTACATTAAAAATTTGATAAAAAGAATAATTAAATTACATTAAAATTTGATAAAAAGAGTCATTAATTTTATAATCAATGAGTAATCTAAATAAAATGAGAGAGATAAATAGTATGAATTAAGAAATTAATGATACATAGAAATAAAATATCTTAGAACAAAACTTCCTAATAAATTGGAGAATCATTGAATGGTATGAAGTACACAAGAACCTGGTGACAACTTGGTTGTTCCCATCACACCAAGTCTTAATGGACTCATTTTGGGTTGCAAATGAATAAGTCTAAACTAGTAATTAACTAATAAAAGTTCAATAAATAAAATAAACCCTTGAATAATGTTTAATACGACAGAACAAGCCTAAATTATAAAATAATTATCCAACATGAAATAAATAAATAAAATAGGATAATAAAAATAAAATATCTATGCTAAAATTTTTCTATGTAGCTTGAATATCTAATTTTCGCATATTTTTAGTAGATTTCAGTCATGATTTCAAATACGTCATTCTCTCTTGTCTAGATAAATTACTGGACCTACCATGTATGGTTAGAAAGCTTGATATGTCTAGTTTCTAGCACAGTTTGAATCGCAACGAACTTCCACCTGTAGATCCAAATATGTCCTAAACAATACATGAATGTTTAGTTGGATAGATTTAACAAGATTCATCTACTAACTTCGATAATTTGAAATATATATTTCTAAACTTCATTTGACTTGACAATTTACTATAATATATTTTCATGTGTCTAGTATTTTCCTGTAAAATCATCTTAATCTAATATATGGTTTAGAATATATGCTTGATTTTGCAAAACTAGTCAACATGTATTTTAATGTCAAATTTAAACCTGACTTGATTCATATCATAAATTTAATAAACTCGTAAAATTAAACTGATTTTTTTATGAATTAAATTAATTTTTTTTTTAATTTTCAAGTTTTTAATCTAATTTTATATATTAGATGCATATTAATTTAAAAAATTATATAATTTTACAATTAAACTTGCAATTTTAATAACAATGCCCTTACCCAGTATAGTTAAAGGGCGAAAAAAGGGGCTGGCCATCTCCCCCGGGCATGTGGGCTTGTTTCGAGCAATACATGCACAGAATGAATTAAAAAATAAGGCGTCGTGACCTTACCTGCTCACTAGGCTTGCAGGATGTTCAGTGGGCCATGGGGATTAGTAGTGGTACGCGTAAGCTAGCCCGGACACCCCATATAAATAAAAAAATAAAAAAAAATAAAAAAAATAAGGCACAAAAAATAAAAAAAAATAAAAAAAATAAGGCGAAAAAAAAATAAAAAATAAAAAAAAAAGAGGAGCAATCGCCATTTGGATGTGGTTTTTTGTGTAGGCTTGTAGCTAATGGTGAAGGCAACGGTTAAATAGCTGGTTTATGTTAAAATATATATTAATAATATTTTTTTATTTTTTAAAAATTATTTTTGATATCAATATATCAAAAAAATCTAAAACATATTAAATTTTAATAATAAAAAACTCTTCTATAAATTTTTCCTTTTTGCTCTTATAAAATAATTATTATTTTCTCATCCTTAGATTTCTATCAATTGCAATACAATCCTCAGATTCTAACTATTATTTACTCGAAATTTTATTTTAATGAATCTAATTTATTTTATTATTGTTATTATATAATGAACGAAGGGTTATTCTTAATATGTGATTTATATATCATGATACTCTTTTACTTTTCCTTTCTCTTCTTTTTTGCAGTAAGAAGTTATCAATAATCAAATTCCTATGGATCATGACCGGAATGCTAAATTTAATATGTGTTTGGTAATACTATGTAATATATATTTTATTTAAAAATATATTAATATAATATTTTTTTTATTTTAATATCAATATATTAAAATTATAATAAATTATTTAAAAATATATCAGATATAAAAAAAAAACTAATCAGATTCGTTACAAGTAATTTTCTCGACAATCTACCCCACTGCTTTGTGCTATGGCTCACGTCTCTTTTGGTTATTGCGTACTTTTTCTTTATTGTTTGATGATAAGAATGTGTAAGGGTTGTTTTTTAAATATTTTTTTATTTAAAAATTTATCAAAATAATATATATTTTTTAAATTTATTTTTAATATTAATAAATTAAAATAATTTAAAATCATAAAAATAATTAATTTTAATAAAATAAAGTATAATAAAATCTTTTTATTGGTACAAAGAGTGATTATTTTCAATTCAATTTAATTTTTATCAAAAAAATAACTAAATTGAATTAAAAAAAATCAAAACCGAATCAAAACTGATTCAAACCAATCGGTTTTAGTTCGGTTTTTAGGATAAAAACTGATTGAAATCTATTTGGCTTGATTTTAACTCTATTTTTTATAATTTAGCTCTATTTTTTTTAATTTAAATAAGTTTTTTCTAATTTTTTTCTATTTAAATTCAGTTCAATTTAATTTTTTTACTCATCCTTTTCCTTCGTTAATAGCAACAGGTGCAGTGAAGTATGGACCCATCCAACTTGATGGCCACCCCACCATATTATTATAAAAAGCCACCAGTCCTTCGCCCAGCAGCACCATCAATTATACCTTTATTGTCATTTTTGTCCTGGTGCAAACAGGCACCCATCACTGTCCCCACAAAATTCCCTTGACTGACTGTTATTGGCCAGTTCGTGAGAGGAGTATTATCCTTGAAGCTTCACCAGTGATCGTTTTGTTATCGATAAGGTTATGCACAAGTCAATTTAAGTTTTGATTGAGTCCTATTAAGTTAATTTCTTTATTTTTTTCATAAATTCAAATTAGTTCAAATTCCGAGTTAATTAGCTAATCCATTCCGAATTTAATAACAATAAAAATGAATATTGATGTTATAATAGTAAAACATACTATAAGGCTTTTATGCTGAAGTTTGATTGTGACCTATTCAAGTAAAAGTTATTATTAGGAGATTTTTATTATTATCTAGATTTTTTTATTATAAAATTTAGATTCAAAGAAATAAAATTTATTTGAATTACATTTTGAATAGTTTGAATAATTACAATTATTTAAATTTTACACCCAAATAAAAAAAAATAAAAATAATATATTTAGGATACTTTGAATCAATGTAACAATCAATTATAAAGAAAATTAAGTGTTAAGGATCAAATCAAGAATTTTAAATAATTTTTTATCCAAGATTTCTTAATAAACTTACTTTTTTGTATTTGTTTACTTTAAAAAAAATTCAATAAAAAAATATTTTTAAGTCAAAGAAAAATTTCAATTTTTTTTTCATTTTGAATGGAAAACACTTTTAAAAAAATATGAGAAATTAAAAAATATTTTGTTATTTATTAATTATATCAATGTTAGTCCTTAATCTTTTGATTGCCATATATATATATATATAAATTTTTTTCTTCAATTTAATCCATTAAAATTTAATTTAACTTAATTTTTATACTAATTTTGATTCTCATATTTTTTTTAATATTTTTATCCTTATATAATTTTTTTTTATCATATTTGGTTCATATTTATTTTATTTGAAATAATTTATGAAATTAATTTTTTTCTACTTTTATTATCTTTTAGAAATAATTTATGAAATTAATTTTTTTTACTTTCATCATATTTCAATTTTTTTATGTGTATGATTTTATCTTTATTCTTTTAATTACTATTTATTTTTATTTAAAATAATTTATAAAATTAATTATTTTTTAATTTCATCATTATTCAATATTTTTATATGTGAGTTTTGGTCTCTATTTTTTAATAAAAGTTTTAAAAAATTATTAATAAGCTATTTTTAAATTTATTTTTTATTATATAACATAATATTAAAAAATAATTTTCAACTTATATTACTGTACATAAATAATAATTTACTTTTCATAAATTTATTTTCAAAAGAAAATTCTTTACGCCGCCAAGCAAACGGGCCTTAAAATTTCGGTGTTTCTAAAAGGACAGTGAGCTAGTCAGCCGGCTTATTATGCGCTCGCTGTCTTTTACGTGTCTCCCTCACGAACTGACGCAGACAGAAAAAACAGAGTCTCAAAAAATGGAAGAGGAGCAGATAGAAAGAGAAACGAAAAGTCTTGTTTTTGCCGTTAATGGACAAAGGTTTGAGCTTTCAAGTGTTGACCCTTCAATGACTTTGCTTGAATTCTTGCGTACACAGACCCCTTTCAAGGGTGTCAAGCTTGGTTGTGGTGAAGGTATCATCTTTCTTTCTGTTTCTTTCTTTACCCATAAGAGCACGTCTTGTCCTACATTGTTAACAGATTTGATAAGTGAGGCACTGTTGGGTTTCAATCTGGGATTTTAACATCATGTTTTGCTTATATGCATGTGGAATTTTCTTACTTTGAATGCTGAATTATATTGTACTAATGTTTACTTTGTTGCCTGATTTTTTTACTGTGGTTGCAGCTGTGATTAGAATGTTCTTGACTTATGAACTGTTGATACTTTTGAGAAAATGGGTTTGCTTGTTAATTTATTTGTAATTGAGAAGATTTCCTTAATGGGTTGATTCGTTTTCCATGGTTTCGATTCTTGTTTGTTGCTGTAGATTGCTGAGAGAACATAGGGAGAGAATACTAAAAATCTCAAGTCTTGTACTATTATCACTATTTAAGACATGGCCACAGCCAAAATTTATTACACTTAATCATCTGGATTTTTCAAGCTTGCAAGTTATGTGAATGCATACAAAGCTTGGAACTTTGTTTTCAGAATGCTTGCTGCTGTTATAAAATGTTTTGAATCAACTTCATCTTTGGTTCTTGAGTTTTCCTGTGTTGCAATTGTTGTATTGTTCATATACTTGTTTGCGATTTGGTGGTACTTCTTGCTTGTTTCAGTATATAAATACTTTCTCATTCTTCTCTCTAGAAAATGAGAAGAAAATAAAAAAAAGACAAACCACTTGGCCTTTTAGATTTTGCATGCCGTAAATTTCAAACTCAATCACTTATTGTAAGTCTGCTTGGGTTTTCACAGCAACCAAATGGAGGATAAAGATGAATCTGTTAGTTCATGTCAGAACATCGATTACTTGAGTGGAATTAAAGCATTTGAAAGTTATATGGCTTCTCAATATGTTTTCAAATTTATGGTTTTTAGGTGGTTGTGGTGCTTGTATTGTTCTACTCTCCAAGTATGATCCTGTGATCGATCAAGTTGAAGATCTTACAGTAAGCTCATGTCTGACACTGCTTTGCAGTGTAAATGGATGTGCGATTACAACAACTGAAGGCCTTGGAAATAGCAAAGACGGGTTCCACTCAATTCACCAAAGGTTTGCTGGCTTCCATTCTTCTCAATGTGGCTTTTGTACTCCTGGAATGTGCATTTCACTCTTTGGGGCCCTGGTTAATGCTGAAAAGACTGATAGGCCGAAACCCTCTCCAGGATTCTCCAAGTTGACAGCTGTTGAAGCTGAAAAGGCTATTGCAGGAAACCTTTGTCGCTGTACCGGGTATCGATCCATTGCAGATGCATGCAAAAGTTTTGCAGCTGATGTTGATATGGAGGATTTGGGATTAAATTGTTTCTGGAAGAAGGGAGAAAGTCCAGATGTAAAGATAAGTAGGTTACCTTCATATGACCATAATAACGAGATTTGTACTTTCCCTGAATTTCTTAAATGTGAAATCAAATCTTCCTTTCTTTTGGATTCTCAAAAGTCCTCTTGGTACAATCCTGTCAGTGTTAAGGAGCTCCAGAGCCTATTAAAAGCCATTAAAGGCAACAACGGGGCCAGGATCAAACTAGTGGCCGGTAACACAGGTATGGGTTACTATAAGGATCTACAACACTACGACAGTTACATTAATCTCTGCTATGTTCCTGAGCTTTCAATTATTGGGAAAGATCATACAGGGATTGAAATTGGGGCAACTGTTACTATTTCTAAAGCCATCAAAGCTTTGAAGACAGAGAGTAATGGCGAGTTTCTATCAGAAAGTGAGATGGTGTTCAAAAAAATTGCAGTCCAAATGGAAAAAATAGCCACTCAATTTGTTCGAAATACAGGTAGTGTGGGGGGGAATTTAATGATGGCACAGAAGAATTGTTTTCCTTCAGATATTGCAACGATACTTCTTGCCGCTGGTTCATTTGTGAATATAATAACTGATACCATGCATGAAAAGCTTTCCTTGGAGGATTTTCTGGAAAGGCCTCCACTGGATTCAGAAAGTATACTTGCAAGTGTTAAAATCCCAAAATGGGAACCAATTAAGAATGATTCTTCTGAAAAGGATTGCAAGATGCTCTTTGAAACCTATCGAGCTGCACCCCGACCTCTTGGGAATGCCTTGCCCTATTTAAATGCTGCTTTTTTGGCTGAAGCTTGTCGCTGGAAATCTTCCGGGGCAATTGCTCTAAACAAATGCATGTTGGCTTTTGGTGCCTATGGAACCAGACATTCAATTAGAGCAAGGGCAGTTGAGGAATTTTTAACTGGAAAAAAATTAACTCTTGATGTTCTGTATGAGAGTATTAAATTAGTTGGAGCCTCTGTGGTACCTGAAGATGGCACAACAAGCTCTGCATATAGGTCAAGCCTGGCTGTTGGTTTTTTATTTGACTTTCTTGGTCCCTTAATAGACAATGTTGCTAAAATTTCTAACCATTGGTTGGATAACTATGGTAGTGCAACAATATTCACTGTTGACGAAGTAAAACAGAAACACGACCAGCTTGATCATGTTAAAGTCCCAACTTTGCTGTCTTTATCAAAACACGTGTTTGAAGTAACCAAGGAGTATCATCCTGTTGGTGAGCCAGTGAAAAAATCCGGAGCTGCCCTTCAAGCTTCTGGTTTGTATTTGTTATCTCTCTGCTCCTGTGCCAGCAAACATTTTAAATTTGTGAAATTGTTTATGTTGGTTTGATCTACTTCATATTTAAACAGCTGCGTTGATTTCTAGCTGCAAATTTTCAAGAAGCAAGATACAAAACTTACTCATCTTATCACTTCTGCAGGTGAGGCTATTTTTGTGGATGACATTCCCTCTCCGATGAATTGTCTATATGGAGCATTCATTTATAGTACAAAGCCTTTTGCTAAGGTCAAAAGTATAAAATTCAAGTCTAAATCACTACCATTTGGGGTTGCTGCACTTATCTGTTTCAAAGATATTCCGAAAGATGGGGAGAACATAGGTTCTAAATCCATTTTTGGTGCTGAACCTTTGTTTGCTGATGAGATGACTCGGTATGCTGGAGAGCGTATTGCTTTAGTGGTAATCTGTAATATATCTTTTTATTTTTTATTTTTTATTTTTTAATTTACCGTTGATGTTGTTACAGAGTCATGATTAAAGTATGCTACCGGATAATGGGGGCTATTAGTGCCTGATCGGGTCTATAAATTCACTTTGATAGGTTGCAGATACACAGAAACATGCAGATGTGGCATCAAACCTAGTCGTGGTAGATTATGACATGGAAAATCTAGAACCACCTATTTTAACACTGGAAGAAGCTGTTAAGAGATCTAGCTTTTTTGAGGTCCCTCCTTTCTTCTACCCCAAACAAGTTGGAGATGTATCAAAGGGAATGGCCGAAGCTGATCATAAGGTTCTCTCTGCTGAGGTAGGGGAAGGAAAGAAAATATTCCTCTTTAAGACAAACACAAGTGAATTAGTAAACTGACTTATTTTTCTTCTAGTATCATCTTTCAGCTATTAGGATATGCATTCATTTCAAATTTTCTGCTGAATTATAATGTCAGATGAAACTTGGATCACAATATTATTTCTATATGGAGAATCAGAGTGCTCTTGCTTTGCCTGATGAAGACAACTGCTTGGTGGTTTACAGTTCCAGTCAATGCCCTGAGTTTTCACATTCTACAATTGCAAGATGTCTTGGTCTTCCTGAGCATAATGTGCGTGTAATTACAAGAAGGGTTGGAGGAGGCTTCGGTGGAAAGGCTTTAAAATCCATTCCTGTGAGTATCTTTCTATACACTCTAGATTCTGTTGCAAATATTATATAGCGACAACTCACAGGGTTATGTTTATGAATCCTTTTCTCTCATTTTGTTATGTTGTGAGACAATTTCTATTGAGTTCTTACGGCACTGGTTTTTCTGCCATTTCATCCAATATAATTTTCCTCATTACTTTCCTCTTTGCCTTTACTACAAGAATCTAATCACATTTAATACACTAGCTCATCTATAGTTTATAATGGACATGGTCAAGCACTTAACCATCTGAAACAATCTCTCATCCTCAGGGCCGCCTCAACCTTCAATAAGTACACTCTTTTCTTATCCAACTCAGTTTTGCATTCACATGCATCCATCTCAATAATGCTAAGAGATGATGCAGGATATGGATACTTTGTTCTTACTAATTTATAGTTACCATTCTCTCTCTCACAAACACAAACATTGAGTCACCCCAAACGTATGCACCTTTTGAAGATCTTTATTGATGTGTGGTCCTCTTCATTATTTAATGATTGAATTAATTGTCCACTTCTTTATGTTAACTACTGGTACAAGTACTAACAACATGGTGATGTTTTAGGTAGCAACAGCATGTGCACTTGCAGCACACACTTTACAACGACCTGTTAGGATGTATCTCAATCGCAAGACTGACATGATAATGGCAGGAGGGAGGCATCCCATGGAAATAACTTACAGTGTAGGGTTCAAATATAGTGGGAAAATCACAGCCTTACAACTCGATATACTGATTAATGCAGGGATATCTCCAGATATAAGTCCAGCAATGCCACATAACATGCTGGGTGCTCTTAAGAAATATGACTGGGGTGCTTTATCTTTTGATATAAAGATTTGCAAAACAAACCATTCAAGTAAATCAGCAATGCGGGGCCCTGGGGAGACACAAGCATCATTTATTGCGGAAGCTGTAATAGAACATGTAGCCTCCACCCTTTCCATGGATGTTGATTCTGTGAGAAGCATAAATCTCCATACATACGACAGCCTTAAAATGTTCTATGTCTCTTCAGGTGAAGCTCTTGAGTATTCTTTAACTTCAATGTGGGATAAGATAGCCATGTCATCAAACTTGAATCAAAGGACTGGAGCGGTAAAAGAGTTTAATCGGAGTAATGTGTGGAAGAAAAGAGGCATTTCTCGAGTGCCTGTTGTGCATGAAGTGATGGTGAGACCAACTCCTGGGAAAGTTGGCATTCTAAGTGATGGGTCTGTTATTGTTGAAGTTGGAGGGATAGAGCTGGGCCAGGGGCTCTGGACAAAGGTAAAACAGATGGCTGCATTTGCTCTCAATGCAATCAGATGTGATGGAGAAGGAGTACTCTTGGATAAAATACGGGTGATACAATCTGATACACTGAGTTTAATTCAAGGAGGGTTTACGTCTGGTAGCACTACATCTGAATCAAGCTGTGAAGCAGTTGGACTTTGCTGTAAAACCTTGGTTGAGAGACTAACACCTTTGAAGGAAAGGTTGCAGGTGCAGATGGGTTCTGTGAGATGGGAGATGCTCATATCCCAGGTAGTTATCCATGCTTCTCAGACGTTATACTTGACATTTGTTTTTCCACATCATTCTTAGAAATTCAGCTCTTGAAAACATTATAAAGTCAATGCGGTTCTTTTGTATTATTTTCTGTTTCTTTCAACATAAAGAACTTTTTTTTTTTTTTTATCTAAACTCATCTCTTTAATGACTATTAATTTCCAAGTTGTTCAGTTGCTCCCTTTTAAGAGAAGAAAGGTTTGCGTCAGGGTGAACTGATCTTTTATGAGACATAATATTGAAATTTATATTCTTTATTTGTGCTCCTTTAGATAAAAAAGATCTTCACAATATCCGTTGTATGTTCAATCAAAATGCAGGCATATTTGGAAGCTGTGAACTTGTCAGCCAGTTCTTTCTTTGTCCCTGACTTGAATTCCATGCAATACTTAAACTACGGTGCAGCAGTCAGTGAGGCAAGTTTGTCTAGAACACCTTTTGATTTTCTTTGGTTCATGATTCGAAACTAAAGTTGTGCTTCTTAATGTATAATCAGAGACCTAGACCTTGCATTTTCAAACTTGCTTCGTGAAATATTAAATTAAGTATGTCATTGTTAATTTATTATCATCACAGTTTGCAGAACCATCATCATCATCTTGATTATCTTTACAAATATTTAATTTGAAGCTGTTGTGTAACAGGTGGAGGTGAATCTTCTGACTGGCGAAACAACAATTTTGAGGTCAGATATTATCTATGACTGCGGAAAAAGTCTGAATCCTGCTGTGGATTTAGGACAGGTTAGCTGGATACCAGTAGCTCAAAAGCTCAATTCTCAAGTATAATGTTTCTCCGCATCTGTTTCTAGGCACCCCTTTAAATGTGTATGGATGTCTTTTAGACCTCCAGCCATATCCCATTCCTTTAGAGAATTAAAGTTTCTTTTATAGATACGTTACTGTTCAGTTCTGAGTATGGATTTACTACACATTTTCAAAAATAAAATATGTTTATGAATGATTATCTTCACAGTCCAATTATTTAAGAAGACTTGGTGGTTGCAGATTGAAGGAGCTTTTGTCCAAGGAATCGGGTTTCTTATGCTTGAAGATTACACCACAAACCCAGATGGATTAGTGGTTTCTGACAGCACTTGGTCATATAAGATCCCTACAATAGACACGATACCGAAACAGATCAATGTTGAAATCCATAACAGTGGACATCACAAAAATCGTGTTCTTTCATCAAAAGGTACAACTCTTATGTGAAAGGTCTAAAATATGTGAAATTTTCTCGAGTATGTGAAAGGTCTAAAATAATTTTCTCCATGCATGTTGAAGAGGCTCGCATAGTTTGACATAGATCAAAATTAGTGAATTGAATGTGCTTTGTGCAGCTTGTGGTGAGCCACCACTACTCCTAGCAGCCTCAGTTTACTTCGCTGCACAAGCAGCTATTAAAGAGGCCCGCAAACAAATGCGTTCATGGGGTTGCATAGAGCAGCCAGCATTCAACTTCCAGGTTCCTGCCATTATGCCTACCGTGAAGGAGCTTTGTGGGCTGGACAGTGTGGAGAGGTACTTACAGTGGAAAATCGGACGCGAGACCTCCTCCGAGCTAGACTAGTGAACATTACATGGAGACTGCTATTGTTCACACGCAAACAAATTGTTCTCTGACACGGTCACGCATGCATACGAATGCACAGGTCTGTGCGACATCAAAACAAACAAAAACTGCAAGCAGGTCTTATGCATGTCCAGTGTTGTCATCCACCAAAAGCCATTATCTAGAACAAATGCGGATTGCCCCCTCTTAAAATTCAAGTTTCTTGTTTCTTTAACTCTATTCTTGTAATAAGTTGAATAATTAACAAAATTGATTAAAGAACTTCCATCGGAGATGGAAAAGGTTGAAGAAAAAAAAATCGTCTATATCTCTAATCTTTCAAATTTGTGTGGTTAATTAGACCTAAAAAAACAAGACTAATTACGGATTACAATGAAACTAATAGTACTGCATTTGAGTTTTTGTTTTTGCTTCCAATTCAAAATTTGAAGAAAAACCACGCAGCTATTTGCCTGCATAACGAAGGCAGAAAGGAAACCAAGCAGCCGGCTTTCTTGCCATTTCTGACCCCATTTCTTGCCTGCATAGTCCCACGATTCATGCATGGAAGCAACATAAGCTTGAACGATCTGGTATTTGCTAGCTTAGCAAGGGAATCAAGTGGAAGATTAAATGCAAATCTTGAGTTGTAATTAAAACCACAGTTATCTCTATTAATTTTATAAATGCCACAACCTCCAAATTTCCTAAAGCTCTCGAAGAAAGACATTGGCACCATCATAGCTCCTCAATCCAGGGAAAGGTTGGTTTAGAGGGGGTTATACTGGAGGGAGCAGTACATCAGAGTCAAGCTGTGAATCAGTTAGATTTTGTTGTGAGTCTTGGTTTAGCGGCTGGCACCTCTGAAGCGAAGGTTGCAGGTGCAAAAGGGTTCCGTAAGACGGGGAGTGCTCATTTTCCAGGTACTTGTCTGCATCTCTTGAACATTCTATCTGACATACTTCTTAGTTCAAACCTAGAGACTGTTCAACTCTTGAATAATCCCTTCAATAATTTGGCCCTTTCTAATGGTTTTTCTTTTCTGTTCTTACATTCAAGTATTTATCATGGGAACAAATCTTAATTCATGTTCTTTTGATATCAACATTTCGATACACTAGTTCTTTGCTATCGTACTCTTTAAGTCAATCAAAATGCAAGCACATGTCGAATCACTGAGTTTATAAGCATCGTCACACTTTATCCCTAACTCTGCTTCAATGCACGACATAAACTATGGTGCTGCAGTACGTGAGGCAAGTTTTTCCACTACAACTCCATCTAATTTCCTCCGGTGAATGATTTGAAACCAAAGCAAAACTTCTGTGCACAAACTGGGAGAGGTGTCATTCAGTCCTGCTTCAGAAGTTGCTATTGAGTTTGGTATGCTCAGTTCTAGCACCAGGAAGAAGTAAAAGTTATATGCCTGATTATCTACTGTCATACTTAATGTGAAGCTACGGTGACACAGGTAGAGGAAACAACAATTTTGCGATCAGATATTACATATGACTGTGGACAAAGTCTGAATCCTGCTGTGGATTTAGGACAGGCTAGCTGGCTGTGAGCCTGTGACAACTCAAAAGTCAAAGTCTTATGTCCATAGTGGCCTTCAGTATTAAGGAACAAATATCTGAGAAGGCTTACCTTTTGAAGGGAGAACACGTTTCAATGGATGAATGTAAGCAGAAAAGCACATTATACAGTACTGGGAGAGAATAATTAAAAACAATATGATCTACAGATGCATGCAACCTCCCCTTTTGTTTTTTTTCCCCCTTCTTTTGAGTGGGATTATATTATTCATCATTTGTTTTCGATTATTGATCAAAATCAGAGTTTCCTGTTCCAACCGGTAACATGTTTTAATGATTTTAACTCATGATGGACCCATGAAAAAAAGGCAAAAAAAGTATAAATACTGTCTGGTAAAAAATTAAAAATTATTAAAATATTTATTTTATAAAAATATATCTTAACATGGAAATGACCTCCGAATATATTCTATTTATTATTAACCAGAACAGAAAACCTTAAAAAATAAAAAAATTGCAGCATCAAATAAATATCATTGATTAATTAACCAAACGCAATGATCTGATCAACACATCTAGTGGAGGCCTCTTTCGAATTAAAAAAAAAGAGAGGCATAAAATGATGAAAGTTTCAAATGATGTTAATTTAATTTATTTGCCAAATATCCAATTATCTAGCTATTAAACAAAGTTTATAAAAAAGAGAAAAATGAAAAGAAGATTGTTTTCAAAGAAATAAATAACTTGTATTCATAATATTGCAAACTCATATTCTTTATATTTTATATTTTCATAATGGTTTAATTATTGTAATTTAATAATAATAACTTCTTTTGATACCTTAAATTCATCATCTTTTATCTTTCGCAGTGATCCAGTCTAGTACCGATCCTTAACTATGACGCTAAGTAAAACGTGTTCCGCGCTCAATTTCCAGATGCCGGGTTGACTAGGGAATAATGACTCCAAATTCATGGAATAATACACAAACTGATGGATGATGTTCCTTCAATTGAATTTTTCAAACTTTGAGACAATGGCAGTACACCTAAGCAGCCTAAAATATAACACCAAAGTCGTCTAGGTAAGTACCTTGTGATTCCGAGTAAATAAATGTACTGATCCAGCTTTGTTTCAGAAGTTGCAATGATTTAAACTGATTCTTAGAGAACATTTGTTTACACGTTAAAAGTTATGTTTAAAATAAAATACAAGAAGCAAAAATTGTGTTTAAAATAAAACACAAGAAGCAAGTATTTGGTAAAGAAAAACCACTAATTACTATTCATTGACTCCATAATTTCTGTGTTTCAAACGTAAGATTCAAAGAAACAGCTGGAGACTGCTTTTTTTGCACTGTTCATCTAATTGAATAGTTCAATGAACAATGTAATTAATATTAATAATGTTCATGATTATACTATTCATGTGAACAGTGTATAAAAATTACATTGTTCACATGCATTGTGTTTTTGTTTTCAAGGTAAGTTTTTTAATATTTTTTTTAAATTAGTTTAGAATAAAATTTATATTTGATAATATTTTATCTAATTTTATTATATACTATAAAAATTATAGAAATTGTAGTTCTTGTCGGATTTATTTTATACGTAATGGAATTGTAGATGATTTTATGGAATAATAAAAAATATTTTATATTAAGTATGATTTATTTCATGATGTAATAGTAATAGTTAAATTCACAATATTTAAATTAAAAATCAGTAATATTAATATATATTTTTAAAAATTATTTTATAACCTTAATTTCAAAAGCATTTTTAATCAAACACACTAAACTACTTTTTGTTCAACTTCAATTTCAACCACAGTTTTAACCAAACATCTATTTTTTCAAACTAACCTCAATTAAAAATACTTTTTATAAAACGATTTTTTTCAAATTACAACTACAACAGCTACCACAATACCAAACATATTTTTAATTGTCGGCCTTGTTTATATTTCTTGGTTTCTTGATGTTTTTGATCTAGAACAAGCAAAAATGATTTTGAAGTTGTGTGTGCCTGGACTAATGATTTTGTCCCTGCTGTGTTCAGTGGCAACGGCAATGGATCAAAGTGCAGCTGATTCGAAACCTGGCTGCCGAGACAAGTGTGGCAATGTTAGTGTTCCCTATCCCTTCGGTATTGATGAACCCAGTTGTGGCGAAAACCAGTACTTGTTTCTAAATTGCAATCAGAGTGATGGTCATGGTCCTGAGAAGTTGTGGTTTGATAATAATCCTGTTCTTAATATTTCAGTTCCTGAAGGCTCAATGGTTGTCAGCATCTTCACAGCATATGACTGCTACAACCAGTCAGGGGCAAACGTGAAGGAAACTAATCTCTCTATCAATCTCGGTCAGGGCCCCTACATGTTCTCAGACACCCAAAATATGTTCACAGCTATAGGCTGTGATACTATGGGTTTTTTCAGTAACGCTAACGTCACATATGTAGCTGCTTGTTTCTCCTTATGCGATGAAATGGTGAGCCTGGCCGATAACAGTTCTTGCTCAGGTTCAGGATGCTGTCAGACCTCAATTCCCCAGGGCCTAAAGTCTCTGTCTATTCTCTCTAGCTCCATATACAACCACAAAAATGTTTCAAATTTCAATCCTTGTGGATATGCATTTTTAGCAGACAAAAGAACCTTCAAGGCTTCAGATTGGCAGCTCTCAGGTTTGCCAGATGGAAATGCTTCAGATGCTGTGATTGAATGGGTCGTCGAAACAAAGTCGTGTGAACAGGCTGGAATGAATACCAGTTCATATGCTTGCCGCAATAATACTAACTGCAATTACTCTAAGAATGGCCAAGGATATCGTTGTTCATGCAAAGATGGATTCACAGGAAACCCCTATCTTTCACCAGGTTGTCAAGGTAATCTACTGTTCCAATTAAATCGTACACAACACATAATATGTTGGGTCCTTTATTCGTTGTTTTGATTTTTTGTTAAGTCTTGTTTACTGGTTCTACTGCTTCTATACTCAAACAGATATTGACGAGTGTGCTGATCGACAAAGGTATCCTTGCAAAGGAAAGTGCAAGAACACGCCTGGAAATTACACATGCAGTTGTCCAATGGGCATGCACGGTGATGGTAAAACAGGTTGTCAAGGATTTGGTATCACCACCATTGCTTCAGGTAAATTTGCACGTACCCTGTGATTAATTTCTCTCCCCACTTGCAGATTTTAGCAACCCCATGCTGGATTCTCTTAACATAGCACAGCAGAATCACTTCTTTATATAAAATTCTCAGTAGGACACGTGGACTTAATAATATGTTACTTACAATAATTATATGAACTCCTAGTGTGAGAACTGAGAAATTATACCTGAGATAGATTCAGGGGAGACTGCCCCCTCACAATCAAAATAATTGCATTTTGCTTGTCCATGAAGTATGAAGTTGGAATCTGGATTCATCCAAACTGACCAAAAATGGACTTCAGGGAGCCTGCTCTCCAAAAATTGCTTATACTTTCAGAATTTAGTACAAGAATTCAGCATTTTAACTATTCTAGCACCTTATAGAACACGGCAGTGTGCTGTTTATATCAACAATTGTTTTCTTCCCAGACTCCCAGTTGCCCTAGGTTGATCATCATGGCAGTTCATTTCTTTCCATTGAATCTCTTGATGCAGTTACTGGAGGAACTATTTCCCTTGTGATAATCGGTGTGCTGCTCTATATAATTTTGAGGAAATTAAGAAAGGTTAAAAACTTTAGAGAAAATGGAGGCATGGTTTTAAAGCATCAACGAGTAAGGATT